AAAAAAATATATATATATATATATAAAAATAAAATTAAAACTATAAACATAAAAATAAAAACTAATTCAAAATATTTGTGAAAACTATAATAGTACCTTAATGATACTAAAATAACACTGACATGGAGAAGAAGTGTAAATGTCTATTTTATTAAACTTGAAATTTGAAGTTCTTAATTTGCAATTTAAACTTGTCTTTCCGTAAGATTAAATGGCAATATTTTTTTTTTCCAAAAAATACCGGAGAGAAGCCCATTGATATAATAAAAGAAAATCATTAAATCTTGGTATTGTCAATGATGTGCTTACAAAATGACCCCGCCTATAAAGAACTGCATCAATAAAACCTCACAGCAATGAACTTCTGTCACTATGTGTTTAGATTGCAGCGCTCAGCCAGTGGATGATGTAGAAAAGCCAAGACCTGCGTTCTGCTCTCGTGGCGTCTGTTTCTCAGGCTAGTGCTGAGCCTCTTGTTGCTAATGGTTTGACTCTCCGGCTGTCTGAAATACTCGTACAGACGGGTTGTCCACTGGCCCATAGAACGAATATGGAGCCACAGCATATCTGTTTGTTAGAGGGAATAAGATTCAGCTTGGAAAGCTTTCATCACTGCAGACAGTTACATAGTTTATTTATTTCAAATGTTTTGTTTTGGTAAGAAAAATAAACTTGAAAGAGACTGTCTGAAAATAAATCTTAGATTTGTTGAAAACAAATGTCATTGTTTTAAACATTTACTTTTTTGTGTGCAAATTTTTTTGCTTTGTTGTTTTAAGACAGATTTTATTCATAGATTTGCTTAAAAAATCTTATTTTGTTAAACATTTGTTTTGTTGTGTAAAATACTTGTTCTGTTTTGTTATAAAAAAATGTTTTGCAAGAAAAATAAACTTAAGTCAAGACGAAATGTCTGAAAACAAGTCTCAGATTTGTTTAAAAAAAACAAAAATCTTATTGTTTTAAACATTTGCTTTGTTGTGTAATTTTTGTGTAAAACAACATTTTTTTTCTTTTGTTTTGTTAGAAATTTTTTTTTGTTTTGGTAAGAAAAATAAACACGTCAAGACAGACTGTCTGAAAACAAGTCTCAGATTCATTGAAAAAAAGTCTATTAAACATATTTGCTTTTGTTTGCATTAATTTATTTTGTTCCCTAAATATATATATACAGTGGGTACGGAAAGTATTCAGACCCCCTTAAATTTTTCACTCTTTGTTATATTGCAGCCATTTGCTAAAATCATTTAAGTTAATTTTTTTTCCTCATTAATGTACACACAGCACCCCATATTGACAGAAAAACACAGAATTGTTGAAATTTTTTGCAGATTTATTAAAAAAGAAAAACTGAAATATCACATGGTCCTAAGTATTCAGACCCTTTGCTGTGACACTCATATATTTAACTCTTTTTATTTACAGATGTTTAGATTGTTTTACTGCAAAAAAATAAAAATAAATCAAAAGCGTTGACAAAAAAGATATTTCTGCAATGCATTTTAATTGCATTTAAATGCACACACACACACACACAACTAAAATATAAACAAATCACTGCAATCTAATTGAAGTGTGCAAGAATAACATAACTGTATGCTTTATAGTTGTTTTACTTTGCTGCTCAGGAGCGCTGCTGATGGTAAACGGATGCCACTCGTACTTGGCGATAACGGGAATGTTTATATACACATAATCCCCCGGTTTGAAGTGAAAGAATGGAGGCCTCTTGATTACCAAATGTGTTACCTTCGAAACACAAATAAAAGGCAGTAGAGGTGAAGCTTTCAGCATGGATGACTAACTAAATGTTCCAGTAAACTAAATACACCAAAATATGTACATTGGCTCAGATTTTTACCTTTGAGGGCAATAAGTTGACTTCAACTATGTACAGCCCACCCATGCGGGACACTGCTATTCCAACAAGTTTCTCAATGAGGAACACCACTCCTGGCACCACAAACCATTTCCAAAAGTTCGCACAGTGTACGATCAACAGGGCCCAAACCCAGATGTAGGAAAGATGGGACCAGTAGAACACCTACACAAAAACAAACCCATTTCTTGAACATATTATGCTTTGACAAAACATATTTGAATGGTATTTGTTTGTTGGTACGCATGGCTGAAATAATGTGCTGCAATTTGCAAACAGGATTCTTTGCTAACTTGTTTTTAATGGTCTTGAAACAATCGTCTTTTTCAGCTCCATATTTTCCAAATCAACAGATATTCACAGAAGCGACCATGTGCACATTCTTGCTTCTCATAAATTCAATCAGCAAGCCATCACCTCAAAATGACCACTGCGTCTGACGAATGTGCTGGAACACACCACCATTAAGCAGATGAGAACCTGCAGAACGACGCCCGTGATGGAGGCGGTGCCATTGATCCAGCCAATCCCAGGACGGATGGTGAAAAGATACTCCCACAGCTGATACATACCATCAGTCTGAGACATTCGGGCTAAGAAAAGAGAGAAAGGGATATTGAGAAATATTCTTTATTAATATGTTGCTTTTATTACAGTATGTTACAAAGTCATATACTTTATACACTCAATTTAACCCTATAAAGCCTACAGTATCATATATGCAATCTATTATTTCAGGATGAATACTGGACTGAAGCAACTTAGGCTTACTTAATTATCCATGCATAATTTTTGATGTATTAAATATGATACATCAGGCTAGTAGAGTATTTAAATATAATCTTATTAAGACATTAATTATAATTTTGGGCGATAAACAGTGACAACTGATATGTATATGCATTTTATGTAAGTAGTCTGTTATACTGTTATTAAGACCTCATTGATTTACAATACAAACTATCAGAATTTCATCTTCATTTTTATTTTAATAATATAAATATCAGCAACTGTACCAAATTACACATTTTTGCATATTTAATTTTGGGCCTCTGAATAAAATTAAGGTGCTTTTTCTTTCTTGAGTATGAGCTCCATATTTTCATTTATTATTATTATTAATAAAAAATTATTCCATTAAAAAAAAGATTTTTTTTTGGCCTATTATTTCATATGTCAGGCATTACAGTTTAAGTAAGTAAATAATGACAGAAGTTTTATTACAGGTAATCAAAATTCATGTTTACTTCATGATTAGTTCAAGTTTACTTTTTTTGTCCATAGAATGAACGTCAATGGAGTCCAATGTTTTTGATACTATCCCTTTAAATTAATTAGACCATTTTTAACAAGTTTATTAAAGGTTACCAAAGTTTATGACGTGAGAACCAGTATGTACAATGCTGAAGATCAAGATGGCGTAGCCCACGATCTGATGCAGTAGAATGTTCTGGTCCAAAGGTAAGACCCTCAGCACCCAGGTGGCACGTAGCCACGTCAGACAGCGCCTCAACATCAGCACCTGCAAGACAAAACCTTGTCACTACAGGAAAATGAAGTATTAGATGAATCCATGAGTTCAACTCACCATAACCAAAGTGCAGTTGAGATTAAGACATTGGCCGCAGCCCTTGGCCACCATGAACCAGGGGCCTCCATGCGCATTCTTCAGCATCGCGATGATGAAGAGGAGCACATTCAGGAGGGCATACAGGCAGAGGAAGAGCAGCTTGCGGCTGTTGTTGTGCCAGTACGCCCGTGTCAGGTAACGAGGAGTCTTGCATTTCTTCTGCTCCAGATCGGGAGGTTTCAGCCAGTTGGCGGCACTGAGTGAAAACAGAGAAAGCAGTATTTTTTTTTTGGTAATAAATTTGGTACATTTTGGAGCATTTATGTTTGATTGCACAGCAGTAAGTTCTGGTTTTGGTAAAGAGTTACTAGCTTCGACGTGAATCATAACATTGCAAACTTTGATTCGAACCAAAACAATATTTGAAAATTGGACAAAAAGGTATTATGCAACAGCTTTAATGAGGGAAATAACTACAGTCCCAACTACAAGGCACTGCGAATTAAAAACGACAGACAAATATTAAATCACTGATTTAAAGATATTGTGTATACATATAGAAACAACATATTTTGTTTATTGCAAATATGTTTATAGATACAGATGTTTAAGTAGTTTGCGAGCAAAGATAGACTGACTATATCACATTATTTGCAGTGCTTTATGGGAGCGGATGGGCACTAAAGAGATATTTTGGCGCAATTTGCTTGTTTTGATTCTCGGACTGGTGGAGATTTCTTTGCAGAATCATGGGTAATGTATTTTTTTAACCAGGAATTTCACTGTTAAACATTCAGTAAGTTGAAATAATGCAGACTGAGGGCTTCAACAAAAGCACATACCATTGATTAATAACAATAGTTCACAGTAGGTCTGTCTTTAACAAAATGTATCATTAAAAATCAATAAGTTATTGACTGTAGCACCTATACATCTCTATGCCAGGGTGGTGACTGTCTTAATGAGAGAGTCTTTGAATCATTCATTCAACCGATATGTTCAAAAACATAGATTCATTTCGAAACAAAACAAGTTGTCTTTATGAGTGAGTCATTGATTCATTCACTCAAATGATTAAAAAACACTGATTCATTCAGGATCTAAACATGGGCTGTGTCCGAAATCGCCCCCTATACCCTCATTCACTATTCCCTACATTAGGTCACTAATTCAGTTCACTAGAAGGAGTGAATGAAAACGAGTGGTGAATTCGGACACTGAGTGCACCGGAAGGAATGCTGCTTTTGCATAGTTTGTGCTTGCTGTTTATTAATCATTTGAAACTAGCAAACTAGCAGCTCCAGTAGTAAGATTAAAGGATTTATCTTGAACTCTGTCACGGAAATTATGTATAAACCCTAATCAAACATTTAATAATCAATTTACAATGAATTTATACCTGTGTTGTACATTATGTTGTACGCCATGGATGAGCGCTTTGTAAAAATTAACGGATTGATTATTCAGCTGCGGGTGCCATCTTCTGGCGAGATGCGGGAATTCATTCGGCGCGTGACACTCACGGTGCATTATGGGCATTCTCTAGCCGTTGAGCGTGCACCAGTCGTACACTCGTTTTTGCAGTGCATTGTGGGATTGAATGAGTGCACTCGAGAACGTCCACTATGGTTTCGGACACCACTAAAAATGGCTGTTCCCTCAAATAGTGCCCTATTTAAGGGTATAGGGGGCGATTTCGGACACAGCCCATGGCAAAAAAAAAACCACTGATTCATTCAGGATCTAAACATGTTTTTATGAGTGAGTCATTGAATCATTCTGTCATTCAAAACACTCAGTCATTCATTAATTGGACACCGCTATTGTGTTGCTCAGACGTGCACAATGGTTGACTTTATTTGATACTATTTTCGTTGCCAAAGGAAAAATACACAAATTAACTGGCAAAACTGTATCCAAAATATAAGGTTACTCAGTAGCTATTAACTTCTTTCTCACTGAACTGTAGTATAAAAATATATTCGCAATTGTGCTCTTGATCAGAAAATCAGTCTTGTGATTTTGCATAATCATGTCTTACCTGATGGTAAGGTTCTCCATAACCTCAGGAAAGTTCTCCAGCTCTGCCTTCAGCTCTTCAAACGTGATAGTGCCGCTGTTATCTTTATCTGCAGATTCGAACAGCGCCAGCGTCAGGTCATCCAGCTTTTCCTCAGGAAGTGAGATCGCACTCTCACGCAGACAGGATTTCAGAACTGTACGTAACTCATCTGGGTCTATGGACCCACTGCCTACATGACAGGTCAACACAATAGCCTAATTGAATTAATGGTTTACCGCTGATTGTTTAACAAAGTGTAGGGTGTAACGCAAGTATGACATGTTCCTGGATCAACGTTGTTTTTGGCACAGCATTACAGTCAGCCAATTCTTTCAAAGTCCCTTTAAGGCATTCTACATTATTTGGTATTGTATAGTCTTTGATATTAATGATAGGACGGTTATGGTCCGTGTAAGTTAAGTGGAATGTTGTGCCAGGAACAGCAAGGTATAGGCCTATACATTAATACATCTCTCTCTCTTCACTCTTAAGTACTTTCAATTATAAGTCCTACTTTATTAGCATGATTGTGTTTACATACAATATCGCCAAATTAAGCCATAAACCAGTTTGCACACAATTTTTTAGCCCAATAAAGTTTTCCGTTTTTTTATTCCTTTCCAAATAAGAAATAAAATGGTCAAAATGTATGTGGACCAGGAACATATTCTACTTGCGTAAATCACTTTGTGCATTTAACTTGGCAATCAATTTCTTAAAGCATTTCAGAATAATAAAATATGCATTGTAAGACAAAAATGCATTATGGGAGCGCTTCTCAAACTCAGCTGTAGCCTAACTCTATTGTCAATATTCTGAGATTCACTGATTTTTTATTTATTTAAATTTTTTTTTGTCTTGTGCTAAAATTATGACAAATGTGGTTATTCATTAACAAGAGCTGTTAATACATTAATCGTGATTATTCTCCAGGATATTTTTTGTAGGTACTGTCACATGTTAATGCATTGTTGTTTTTTTTTAAAGAAAGAAAATATATAAATATGTAACAAAGATTTCATTTTCTTGATGCAGAATCTTAAACATTTAAACATTTTAAATCATATTATATTGTTTAATTCTTTAAGTAATTACTTACACTTGTTTTAAATTATTCTAGTTATAATTTTAATGTAATACCATTTACCACTGAATTCTAAAATGAAAGAGTAAAAGATGTACTGTACACCTTACCATCCACATCATAGACCTGGAAGAGGAAGCGTAGTTTGTCTGTCTCACTGCCATGGATCAGAAGATCTAAAGCCTCGAGAAGTTCATCCAGACTGATGGAGCTGCTGCCATCAGAGTCAAACAAGGCAAAGAACCTCTCCGCAAAAAAAGACTACAACAAATAACAGGAGAAAAAAGGTGATCATATTGAGATCTTTTCAGAATAAGATAATACATTAATATTATAAATGTTTCCATGATCAGAAACCTCACCTCTTTTACTTTCAGAGCTGTTTTAAACTCATCCAGGTCGATTTCTTTGTCGTCTCCTGCAATGCTCTCAAACTGCTTGGTGACCCATTCCAGCCAGCGTGAGTCTTCTTCTAGACTCATGTCTCTGCTCCACACAGTCCACACACACTGTATTAGCAGTATCAATTCATTAGACAAATGTATTCCCAATGTCCTCACAGAATCATATTTAGTCCATAACTACAGACATGTAAACAACATTTTGCGGGAAACATATATTTTTTCAGACAGTTGCAATGTACAGCATCAGGAGAGTGGTGGAACAGAAAGTCTGATAAATATAGATAGGAATAGTTTAGTAGATTAGCATAACCGTACGTGTAAATAATGGTTTAAATTAGAATAATTTATGTAGGTATGCATATAATGGTTTAAAAATAAACATTACTCACATTATTATTAAATAAATATTTTAAAGCACATAATGCAATTATATGTATATGTATGTATGTATGTATATATATATATATATATATATATATATGTGTGTGTGTGTGTGTGTATAGTGTTATGTATTTATAGATCAGTATATATTTGTGTATATATTTATATACAGTACATATAGCCTATATACACAAACATAGAAATAAACACACATACAGATAGATAGATAGATACACTCTTAAAAATGCTGGGTTAAATATAACCCAGCACTGGGTTAAAAAGGGACAAACGACAGATAGATAGATAGATAGATAGATAGATAGATAGATAGATAGAGCAAATGCAGCAATAATCTATCCTGGGTGTAACTACAAGTTTTACGCAGTGTCCCATTTAATCAAGAGAAATCATTACCTTTAGATGTAAATCTTCTTAGTCTTTGTCTCAAGTATTTCCTTTTGGTTTTTAATGAAAATGCTCTTACAGACAAAAATGTAAAAGATAAGGGGAGATTTTAATGCAGTCACAAGTTGTTGCTGTTGCAGCGAGTCCAGTTAATCACCTTTCCAAGGAAAAGAGAGAGAGAAATAGAGCCAGACATACAGAGGGAGGCTGGGCAGTATTGTTACAGACATTCAGTATCTGGTACACACAGCAGCAGCTGCCCCTGACATCCCTGCGCCTGCTGAGCGGCCCTCAGTATGACCCATACTACACTTTTCATCACTAGATCGCAGCTAAACACTAATAATAAGCTCCTTTCTGTCTACCATGTATTATGACTACTAAACTACTAAATTGGACAAAAAAGCACTATAAAAGCGGTCCATGTGACATTTATGCACTACTATATATTACAAGTCATCTGAAGTCATACTGTATGATAAATGTAAATTTGTATTCACTGAAAACTCTTCTTAAAACACTCATAACAAAGAAATATGAGTGTAAAAAGAATTTTTACAGAAGCAACATTTTACACATTTTATCCCAAATATGAACCAATGGACTTGATAGCAACACTAATTTAAACTAAAACGGATATGTTGAGTAAAAAATGCAAAAAGGAAACTGACCACGATCCACAAAAACAGTGTCTGTGGAAAGTCAAACATATACTGTATTTCACATGGTGGCGAGCCAAGGAACAAAGAACAACATCCTTCCATCTGTCAAAATCCCTCAGTGTCATGAGTTCAAAGACACTTCCTTTAAGACTGGACTGGTGGAAGTGTTTGATAGGCGTTTCAAAATCTGAATGAAAACAGTAACAGACTCTATTCTGCTGTCAACGGGTGTGAAAGTGGAAAAGAAACAAAACTGATATAACAAGACATTTATTGACATTTCACTCAGAAATGGAAAAATTGCATAAGGGTCAACAGATGGCAAAATACAACCAACTCTTACAGCAGAAGTGGAATATTTCACATCTTATAATGAACTTCATTCAAGGAAAGAAGCATTAAAGTGTGAGAACTATGCTGAAATGTGCACACATTTTAAATGCTCTATATAAATTCATCATAATGTATTGAATGTGAGGACAGTATCAGCAGGATGCCATCCTCTGTCACTCCAGCCTGACCCGTTTCCGTGGTGATGGGGGCGGGTCCAGCGCAAAGGCTGTTGGGGAAGAGGGGCGGGACTCTGGGATGTATTCCATACAGTATTTCTCAATGTATGGCCCAGCAATGTTCCACACCTGAATGCAACAGGCAAGAAACAATATGGGGTGAGAATACTAGTGTAAATTGTCTTGAATAATACATTTTAATACATTTAATAAATATACTGTATATCAGGCTTTCTCAACCCTGGTCCTCGAGGGCCACTGTCCTGCAAATGTTAGCTCCAACCCTAATCAAACACACCTGAACCAGCTAATTAAGCTGTTCAGGATTATTAGTAAGCTACAGGCAGGTGAGTTTGATCAAGGTTGGAGCAAAACTCTGCAGGACAGTGGCCCTCCAGGACCAGGGTTGAGAACCCCTGCTGTATATAGATGTATATATTTATATATAACATACATATACAAAAGTTTGGGGGTCATTACGATTTTTATTTAAAGAAATTAATACTTTTATTCAGCAAGGACGCATTAAAGTGATCAAAGTGACATTAAATACATTTATAATGTTACAAAAAGTTATTTCAAAATAAATGCAGTTCTTTTGAACTTTCTATTCATCAAAGAATCCTGGAAAAAAAGCATCAAGGTTTCCACAAAAATATTAAGCAGCAACTGTTTTCAAAACAAAACTGATACTAATAAGAAATGTTGCTTAAGCACCTAATCAGCATGTTATAATGATTTCTCAAGCATCATGTGACACTACATTTTTAAACTGTCATTTAAAACATAATTGAAGTACATGATTTATAAGCTATATTTACAAAAACTATAATGTACATGGTAATCTAATTAAGTAATCAAAGCTTTTTAAAAATCATATTAAAAAAAAAAAAATATTAGAAACAAAATGCTTTAAAAAATGATAATGTTAATTTGAAAAATTGCTAGGGTGTTCTGGGATGTTTCTAGGGGATTTCTGGATTTTTTCATCTGCTTTATGATCCACCAGGTAAGAAATATTAAATCTGGTTGTTTACAAAAGTAGTACCCTCATGTTTTGTAGCACCCATTCATGTCCGTAGCATAAACAGTGACACAGCAAAGGTTAATACTTTTGAGTCCAGGGTTTGTTTTCATAGTTATAGTGATGCAAATACTAAGAAACAGTGAAGCTTACCTTCTGGTCTACGAGTAGCCGGTGTACAGCTTCAATGTCTGGAGCCATGAATCTGTCTTTAATCCACGGCCTAGGGAAAAGATTTAAATAAATAAATATGAAGATAAAGATTAAAGAAGGTTTGCCAATTATTAACCTGATTGTTCAATATATTGGAGGTTTTAGAGTTAGTGTATCATCGTTTGACCTACTTTACTGTGGCACGCACAAGATCATACACTTTCTCCAATGGGGTCGTCGTACGTAGTGGGCGTAGAAACTCGATACCCTGACAGGCAGCTAACAACTCAATAGCTAGCACTGTAAGGATAAATAAAACAGACAAATTCAGGTTTGATATCTGAACAAATGACATATTCTGATATGTATTTGCAGATCAGTGGTCAGTAAACCAAAAAGTACAAAAATGACAAAATAAAAAGTGAAAAAAGTTTTAAAGTGAAGTGACGTGTGGCCCACTCAGACCCATATATATATATATATATATATTTTT